GATTACAACAAATCTGCAAGCTGCAACATATAAAAATGGAACCAAGGCATGAGACTGATCAGGTAAATTTTTTTATTCAACTTTGCATCATTATAACACTACATAGAGACACTGAGAATACCAAAACAAGTTGTGGCTCAGTAAGACACTAAGATAGAAATATCTAGAAAGAGGGATCTGCAGAGGATATATCTTAGTTCAGCAATCTTAAAGGATGCTTAGATTTCTGAAGAAGCTCTTCTGTCATATCCTCAATTTTTTCTCCACTGGAGCTGCAGATGTGTTCTCTTTACCCTTTTTGAGACTTCTTTTGTGCTGGGATTTTGTGGGAACTCAGCAGATCCCTTTGGATGTTCAGAGTTGCTGAGAACCCCGTCGGGGGGCTCAGAGACCCTGGCATTCTGCCCAGAACACCTGGTGGCTTGATTTTGATCCTTCCAACGAATTGTCAGCTTGGCATGGGGGTGTGAAAGACACACAGGTTTGAATGGTGCAGTAACAGGATGGAAAAGTAGATTTTAGGATTTTTGGTATAGGGGTTATGGGGACAAGATGGAGGAATCAGGGCGTGTCTAGTCCTTCTTCTTTCTTCTTCTTGTTCTCCATTTTCTGTTGTGATGTTGGCACTTTGGGATTGGTTTAGAATAGAAGTGCACTGTCTAACATAGGTAATGGGTATTGGAAATAAAAAGTCAATATGATATACGTAGTTTGTAGTATAAAAGGACAGCACCACCTCGGGGGTGATCAGAGTGCCTGTGGCTGCCTTGCTGTGCAGACCTTGGCTGGGCAAAAAGAAAATTTTATAGATAAGAATTAATAAACAACCTGAAGACCGAAAAAGCAAAGAGTCCAGACTCATTTTTCAGAGTGCGGGCTGCTGCAGAACCATCCCACATATCTCAGGGCTGAGAACAGACAGCTGACCTGAGATCTTGGCATCCCTGGGTGGGCCCAAAGCAGGCAGCTCCCAGGCTGGACTCGCTCCCAGGAGGGCACTGATAAGCCTCCTTGGGAAGCAGCCAGCACAGCCTGAAGAAGCAGCAGCCACTCTTAAGGCCATCCAGAGAGCTGCTGCTGAAGGGACTCGCAGCAGACCAATCCGGAGCGGAGCCAGAAGGTGCCCTGGATCCACTCTCCTGAGAATTGCTGGCCGGTGACCGGGGACCTTCAGACTGCCCTGACGACTCGGATTTGGTAAGAAGGTCAAAATCAAGAACATGGTGGGCACATATTCCCAAGAACAGTTAAGGATTTTGTCCGCCTTACAGGGCATGGCAGAGGCACACCCGATGGAAATTTCAAAGAAAGAACTTAAGGATCTTTTGTTATGGGTACGCTGTAATTATCCATACTCGGAGACACGTGTGTTGTTTGAGGTGGGATTCTGGTAAGAAATTAACAGGCATCTTTATCATTCAGCTACTAGAAAGGATGAAACGGCCCTGAAACTTTTACCACCTGCACGGGTGATGCTGGAAGCAACCTCAGCAAGATCTGGGCAGGTTGCCGAACAGCAGGTTGCTGAA